GGCGGGAGAGCTGGTACTACGTCACGCGGGAGAGCACGACAACGGTAACCGCCACAGGTGTCGTCTATATGAGGTCGGTTAGTGAATCTCCTGCGATTAGCGGAAGGTCGCGTACATCTGGAAGACTCTCGCCAGGGGTGAGACGGCAGTGTGCGAGACATACGCATGATCAGTTATATACTTAGAGTGTATTCAATGGAAAGAGAGACACTGAGACCCCCAGGGCTGAAGTACGGACCTACGGTTGACAGAGATAGACTGTGGTCATATGTGTACGGAGGAAGTGGGCCGTAGACCGTTGCACGTTCGACGCTCCTTCACACTAAGTGACGAAAGAGACTTGACAAGTTGCTTGGCTGTATGGTACCAAGAAAGCGATCATGGGCAAGAGCAAGCCACGATTGAGCCACGATATCCTCGTTTGCGGACGTGAAGGACACCGGGCCGACATCCGGAATGGCTGCGGAGTTCGGCTTGCCTCCAGCCACCATGAGGCCCGGTGCGCCCAGCTCTGACATTGCTTGCCCCACAAACTCTTCTCATGTGCCATACCGTTGAACTCTTGCTAGAACACGTATGATATACCGCTTCGCAACACGACCTACACCGAAGCATCAGGCCTAGATACTGAGCCGTGCATTGCAACCCAGTATTCGGGAACGTCCCTCAGCCTCGTCCGTTTCGCGACTACAACTTCGGGAAATGAAAGCATTTGGTATGGTGGCTTCCAGTCATAGGGATCCAAAGGACCCGCGTGCGCTTTTGCATGCGAGAGACTCAAAGCGTGGCTCGTGTACGCTCTGTTACCACGCCTGCCGCGACCGCGGCAGAGAGAAACTCCGCTTCCGTGTCGAGAGTGTCGGTTCTCTACCATCCGACGTAATAGGGGGGCGTTCGACCGAGCGGGATGAACGCTTATTTGCCTTTCCCTCTTGAGGTTCAGGTCAGTACTCGCATGTTTCTTCCGATGTTCGAGTTCTGGGCGAGTGAAGCTGGCGCATCACCCCGATCTGGGATATTCACGCACGCTCGGTTCTCTGACCAACTTCACTATCTCACCACTCAAAGCTGAATCTGTTATCCGCCGATACCTTCCCCGCCTTAATGACGACTCTCGCGCGAGCTCGATTGAAATAGGAGGGGGGTGCGAGACGCACCATGCGAGCCGATCAAGTTTCGATGAGTGTGCCAGGGTGCGCGAACACACGCCTCGGCAATTCGTCGGAAAGCGACACTGCAACCGTGAGGCTTGTATGAAGGACGAGAGACAATGCTGGCGTATAGTGGTGGCAATTGCAGTAAGATCTGAGCCTGCAAGCTGCAGGCAGGCGCCGCTCGGAATCATCGGGCGCATCACCCGGCCCGGAAGGACAAGGGCGACGCGCCCATGTGACCGCGTTATGCATATTTCGGAAAAACAAACAACAGCCTGAACGAAAGCAGCGCCCTATCGTCAGGGAGCACGAACATCAGCGTCCAAAAAACGTTCTTGCTTCTGCTAGCTTGCGGGAGAGGCGACCGCCGCCGGTAGGTACAGAAGCGCTCAGTCGGCAAACGCCGAACGACAGCATCTGGGAAAACGCGCCGATCCATTCTTCTTTCTCAACTTCCACCACATGTCTTCATTATGCACCACATCCACGCATCGCCTTATCATACGTACACAACATGTCGTACGACACACTGAATGTCTGTCCTCATAGTCCAAGTATCTCTTCGGACATGTCCGTTGAGATGCCTGCTCCACGGCTGCGGCTTGTCAGCCAACAAGTAGGAGGAATGTCTCAAAGGTCCGGTGTCCGCTGCATTCAGAATCTCTTAAAGCCTGATATGACACAGGCCATGTGTCACTCCAAGTGACTTACATGAATGGGGTTAAATCGCGGCATGCAACACGACACTCAACGCGCACGGCAGCCCTTGCTCACTCGGCGGCAATCCCTGCACTGCAGTACGCAACTCCCGGTTCATCAGCTTGCTGCACTTCTCCAAGTCCCATTGGCATGAATGGAGACGGCTGTCAACGGTGCCGACTTCGGCAGAGGGTTACTGCGCGCGCTGCCGGCTGCTTGGAATGGTGCCCTCATCTTCGTCCTCTCGCCCTTGACGTTATCCAATGATGCAATCCCAGAAGCGCGCCCGATTGATAATTCTACTGCGAAGATGTCACTCGTTGCTGCACTGCACCGCGTCCAGCGTACCCTTCATACAAGGATGTATTATGTCCAATGCACATCCGATGAAATAATCTCCTCCGGCCCGCGAAAGGACGCCTTTCGTCTTTGTATTCCTACACCTGAATGTTATGGCTCGCGTTGCTCAACGAGCGGACTGGCGAAAAGCCTCTAGCCGCGAAATAGAGCCGCGCGGGAAGAAAACATTCGGTGTCGACTTCTCGAAGTAAACCCACGCGCACCACCGTCATGCACGAAATGCGGCACAGCACGTTACTTCTCATCTTCACCGCGTTCAACTTCTCGGCAACTACTCATCCAAACCCTCTGCCCTTGTACCAGGTGCTGATGGCAGTGACAATTCCTCGAGCGATACGGAGACCAGTATACTGCCTGGATGACTCGGTCATGACTGGTTATGTCTGCGCAGATCCTGGTACATTACATCGAGGGGTCGTGTGCATCGTTTACGCCATCTCACGCCCTCAAATGGCAAATATGTCGCCTGACGGACCGTGCAAGCCTCCGACAATGCTCGATCCTTTCAACTGGCATGCGTTCGGCACAAATGATCGACAAGAGTGACGGATCCTCTTACGCCACATCCAGAGCTCTTGAGGGGTGAGGACCGACCCCGGCCGAACTTCTGGCTCTCACGGATAGCAGTCCGCGGCAAATTTGGATCCGCGACTCTGGGCTATCGCGCACAACAGTTGGAGCGGTGATACCAGGCCGTTTGCTGGCGCGACCCAGCGCGCTCTGGAAATGTACGAACGTTCGCAGGATCAGGGCATACCTGGGGCTTTTTCTGCTGAGCCGTAGAACTCGACGCCCCACCAATTCCCTCTCTCTCTAGCAACGAACTGGAGCCCCGCACATATACGATCTCATCACCATCAGCGGCCAAGTAGCCATGTTGTTCGCCAAGTCAGTGTCCCGCCTCGCTATGTCGCTTTTATGACACTCACATACGATTTACAGATACCTCGATGATGCTATGGTACGTTTCGTGCGACACCGGAGAGTTATTGTCCCATATGCTGACTCGTGCCATCAAGATTCCGGAATGGAAACGTGCATACATGTAAGATCACTCATTCATGACGTCTGTCCTGTCCTCAAATCAGCATTTCGACAGTGACTATCGTGGATTGAAGGACAACATCACGGCAATTCGCGAAGCACAGGCTTCTCTGACTGCTTCTGTGGCTCCTGATTGCAAGCCGCCAGGGGCGACTAAGCGCCCAACGCTGTTCTCCTTCGAGTCCATCGCGTCATGGAGCTCTGGAAGCACGAAACAGGCCGCGCCTGAGATCCACCAGGACGAAGACATCCGGATGCCAGAACCCGCTCATGTCTGTCCTTACTTTGGCATCTGAATGGCGCATCTCTGACCGCAGGGTCTATGGCAGGTTCACTTCGCAGCCTCACCTGAGGTTGCGCCGAAAAAAGGAGCCGACTCAGCGACATCGCCTCGCCTTGTCCCCGGCAGTCTTCGACTTCAGACGTCCATCACGCCCGCAATCTCGACATCTCATCGCACACCTCTCACACCCAGCCGTTTGTTTGCGGGTGTCCGATTCGGTCACGGGTCGAGCGAAGCAGGACCTTCGCATTCGCTTCACACGCCGACCACCCCTAGTCGGTTAGCGGCTCATTTCCTTTGGAGGGCTGGTTCGACACGTGAGTTGAAGGACTGTACCAACCGCTGAAACTTTTTCGCTAACTGTAGTGATGCTGCACAGTGTATCGCGCAGCGTCGCGTGCTTCCACTCAGGCGCACACTCCCGCTCCTCCTCTGCCATTGTCTGCATATCTCTCAGATTTAACACCGCTTCAGCGCAAATACGTCGACAAGCTCGACTATGAACTCGAGAAAGTCGAGAAGTTCTATGCAGCTCGGGAACGTGAGACCTGTGCTCAAGCGGCCAAGCTGCATCAGCAACTTATATCCTTCTCGGCTCACCGTGACGTATACGATGCTCAAAAGACTGGTGACGATCATCTCGGGTGGCTTGACGCCGCGCGTCGTCATCTCGAGAGTCTCCTTCCGTCCATCATCCGTCCTGCATTGCACCACGACTCCGCAGCCAAGAGTACTGGTACTGCCCCCACGATCATAGTGGACGACGCCGACGAGAAACCTGCCCCGGACCCGAAGGCTAACGAGCGTCGCGTTGTCGTGCGAGCGCAATCGGCCGAGAAATTCGCCCCGAACGACTATGATCGTGCACGGAAGAAGCTTCGGCGGGCGCTGAGCGAGCATTATCGGTTCCTTGAGGCTCTCAACAACTACCGAGTGCGTTTCTTTGCTCGCTCTGCCTATGACGCTTATCTCATGCCCGTGCAGATTCTCAACCTCCTCGGCTTCCGTAAGGCCTTGAAGAAGTTCGAAAAGACGACCAAGGTACGTCTCTGTAGCAGGTTTGAACGTCGGACGCGAGCTGATCATGCCATCCAGATACCACTTCAGACCCCGTACCTACAAGAGAAGGTGGCATTGTACACCTTCGCTCAAGGCTACGACGTCCAGCGGCTATTGAAAATCGCCGAGGAACAATTTGCCATCCACTTCTGTCAGTCGTGTCCGTCCATATAGCGTGGTAGCCACAGACTAAACGCACAGCAGCTGAAGGAAACACGAAGGCCGCGCTCATCCAACTTCGGCGACGATCTCCTCGCCCCAACCTCCATACGAGCGTCTTCGTCACAGGAGCGTTGCTAGGTCTATCGGTGCCAGCATTGGCTTCAGGCGTCTGGAAAAGTCAGTACATCTGAATGACCGTTCGCCTCGATCGTTCCTAACCGCATCCAGGTTTCCAGCCTGACATCCGCGCGGCCATCCCCGGCTGGGATGCCCTACTCTTCATATATGGCATCATGTTCGTTCCTTTGCTGCTCGTGCTGCTTGTGGGTATCAATCTCGCGGCTTGGACATGGACGAGGATCAACTACGTCTTCATCTTTGGTTAGTGGACATGTATGTCCGCACCATTCTCTGCTTACTTCCATCAGGCCTGGACGCCCGGAACATACCAAACTTCAAGAAGTACTTTGAAGTGCGTTTCCTGGTCCCAGAGTATATGAGAGTTTATCTGACATTCCGTGTGACTAGCTCCCTGCTCTCCTTATCACCACGCTATGCTACGCCTTTTGGCTTTCATTCACTCGGACCGGACAAAGGGTCATGCCGCCACAAGCTTGGCCAGTAGCCTGGCTTTTGCTCTCACTCGTCATCCTCGTGAACCCATTGCCCATCCTCGAGCGTTCAAGCCGGTTCTGGTTGATTCGTAACGTGGCCCGGCTAGCCACGAGCGGCGCCCACCACGTCCGGGTGCGCAAGCTTTGTGCCTATCATACCGGTGACCGCCCATCTGACCTCCGTATAGTTCACGGACTTCTGGCTCGGCGATCAGTTCACCTCGCTCATCTTCCCACTCAGCAACCTCTACTTCGTAGGATGCTCCTATGCTGTCGGGTTTGAGAATGATCCCATGGCGGCTTGCTCTCGCCCGAGGGCTTGGGGCGTCCCTTTCCTCATTGGCACGCTACCTCTGGTAGCGCGGTTCGTGCAGAGTGTCCGCCGATGGGTTGACTCCAGGCAGCTCACACATCTCATGAACGTGCGTACCCGCTCCCTCCCAAGTTCCCGTCCGCCAACTGACCTCACATCAGGCCGGGAAGTACGCCTCCGGCGTGCTCTACTACCTCATGTACTACTGGTGGCGATACGAAGGCGCTGGGCGCGGGCTAAGCTTTGTATTCTTCTGCCTCGCCGGCGCAATGTACGTGGTGTATGCCACGACCTGGGTACGCACGTTCCCCTTCATAGCGGGACGGGAGAATGCTGATGGGTGTACAGGACTTCCTCATGGACTGGTCCGTACTCAAGCCGCACGCCCGGTATCCTCTACTGAGGAACGAGGTGTTGTACCTCCGTGTCATCCCGGTGTGTTTCATTCTTTGCAGAATCGAGTCAATGATCACTGACCATTCCTGCGCAGGCTTACTACTTTGCGCTGGTATCAAACATCGTGATACGTCTCGGCTGGCTATTCTACATCCCTGTGAGCGGACCCAGCTTCGCATTGCGCACCTGGATTGTCGCCATGGCCGAGGTGTTCCGCCGATGGCAGTGGAACTTTTGTGCGTTCCCCTCTACTCAATATGTGCGCGAGCCCGATTGCTGATACCTGACCACTTGTAGATCGTCTGGAGAACGAGCATATCGGTAACTGCGACCAGTACCGCTTCCAGCGCGAGATTCCTTTGTTCTACCCGCGGGAGGACTCGCCTGCACCGGCGCCCAAAGCCGGGTGAATCCGAGTGTGGTGATGATCGAATATTCATGGAACAAACTACTCGCTCACTTATACTATTATTGTCTTGTGTTTCCCATTCGTACACGACTCCTCAGATGCTCGACGCCATTTTGCGCCCGCAACTTGTCCCCGCTCGCTTTGCTCTTGTTGATATATAATTGGACATATACATAGAATACCTAGATGCACGGTTGATGCTGTGGACTCTCAAAAGCGCTGACGACCTTGAATCAGGTTTGACGCGAGCATTCTCACATGTAAGAAGCCATATCGTTCAGAGTTTTACTACCGCTCGCCTGTAACAGGCGTCATTAGACATCCGTCTGGAACAGACAGGAGCAAACTGACTGTTGACCGATCTATACTCTCGTAGTTCCCGCTCATACCGTGCCTTATCTTGTTCGGCCGTCCTAAGATACGGCTTTATGACGAGATCAGCAGAGGCATGCACAGGGTAACAATCGAGTACATACATTTCTCTCTTCATCGTTCAAGCTTCTCCACTTCTCGCCTAAGAGGTTGCCAAGCTCTCCTACGAAACAAGATCAGACTTATGTGGGCGCAGACGCTCGGCGCACTCAGCGCTGCGAAACGTACCGAAGCTTGCTTCGGGATGGTCTCTCTTCATCTGCTCGCGGTGATCTTGCGAGAAGAACATGTAGGCAGATAGCCCGCGCCTGGGCGCGTTTCGATCCTTCTTTCGCCTCCCAGTCCCTGTCTGCAGAGATCATGTTAGCTTAGATCACTACAAGTACGTGGCTGTGCAGAGTTATCTTACAGGGACGGGACACGAGATAGTTGTGCCCTCATTGGCGTCCCGTTCAACTTGCATGCGTAACACATCCCGGAGATGATTCTCGTAGTCTTGCAGTGCATTGAGGCGGACCTGGGTTTCTGTATAGGACATACGTCAGTGACCCACGCCTGGGCGCGAGAGGGGCGACGTGCCACTGCGCAAGGTCTGGATATCCTCGTAGACACGCTGCACTGCCACGTAATCCTGTGCATCGATCAAGCTCTGCTCAAGCGCTGTTGATTGATCCAGTTGCTGTAGTGCTTCGTGGACGCGATCGTCCTCCGTGAGCATTTCGGACCATTGCACTGTAAGGTCGTTACTCGGTCGAAGCGCGTGGTGAGAGTTGAGTGAATCACCAGAACGATGTCGGCTCGTCACAAGAGCAAGGATGCGCAGTGCTTGGGCGAGTACACCCGCGGCCCTCTCTTGGGCTATGGAGCGTAGTGAAGCGACTTCCCGACGAAGCCGAAAGCGCTCTAGAGGCAGAACTAGCTTCAAGAGAACATCCTCGAGTATTTGACGGTGTGGGCTACCGAGGTCTCCCTTGGTTCCCTGAAGCCACATAGATCAGAGAGGTGCAAAGATAAGTACGCTCAGCCTAAGACATCTCACAATGAGTATGATGCCCACTGCGACGAGGATAGTCTTGCCGATAAGACCTGGCTGGTTTCATCAGTTTGTATGGATGTGCCATCGACGAGTGGGACGCTCACATCGTAGGCGTCCGTCCCCGCTATACTGCCACCTGGGCCTAGAGCGCAGCGACCGATGCGCCCCACGAGCTTTCTGATGACCGCCCAATTGACGTCCACTCTGAAGGCTCTGAACGCGCTCATCTCATCGTCCAAGTCGATCAGTATATCATTGACGGTTTCGCAGCTCAGGAGTCTGGCTAAATCATGTCGAAGAAGATCGGTCCCCGTCTCCTGAGCGTACTCGACGAGTGCATTTTGCCACAGAAAGTTTACGTCACGCGCGTCGTTCGTGGTATCGCAGGCTGCGGTGCCCATGGTAATACGACAAGCTTACAGTCAGCCGTGATGGTTGTTAGAGTCTGAGAGGCCAGGATACACGAGTTTCGCGCGAGCATAGCCTCAGAGCGCTAAGCCTGCTCCCTCGTGGCGAAGTCTGGGAAGATAGAGACCGGGCTAAGATTCACGACAGCCCTGATGCGTCGGCCTGTACTGAAGGTCGTCTCTCTCAAGAGGAAGCACGCTCTGGTTCGTCATGAGAGGAACATCGCAAAAGCGAGACTGAAGATGCTGGCGGTAGGACACCAGGATGAGCGTTGGCATCCCATGATTCCCATCAGCGATAACACCCGTGATCGTGTTCTGGCAAATCCCGGGCCGAGACTCGAGGCTCATCACTCTTTCGTCATCTTTCTTCCGACCATCGACGAACGTGCGTCCAGCGACTGGCCCGTTCCTGTTCGCGGAAGCCGAACCCTAACAATCTGTGTGGCGCAGGAATCAAGCGTAGTTGTGGCCGTCATCACAGTACTCATAGAGCGCAAAGCGCTAGCCCGCGATGAAATTTGCACGGTATATCCCTTTCACACATTGCTCTTTGCCAGCGCGTACGGCTCGCTGATGTTTGGCGCTGTAGATATCTCGATGACGCTTTGGTAAGTAGATGTGGTTATCATTCCCCGGATATAGACACGGTTCCTGACTGCAAGACTTCTGCTAGACCCCGGAGTGGAAACGGGCGTACATGTGAGTCTTCCCATGTTTGGCCACGGCCAGGCGCTGAAGCGCTTGTCCCAAGTGACTATAAAGGCCTCAAGAAGCGCATCACCGCCGTCCGACGCGAGCAGACTTCTGCGAGAGATCGCCGGTCTGGCAGCTCAGACGAGGAGAGCGAGCAACATGGCTCTTCCGACCCGCTCACCGACACTGAAGCTCTCGAGCGCGCGGAGACCACGCGGCTACCTCCATTGCCTCACAGCGGCGACATTGTTGATGATGCAGATGATGAGGGAGCGCGGTCCGGTACAACAGTACAGGGCGATGCGGGTAGTGGCTCGGAAGATCCAGTGAAGGTGGACAACTCACGAGCGCTTGATCCTGCTGTGAGCTATGCGGAACACTGTCTTTAAGATCCCTTTTAATATAACATCAGGTCGTCTTTGCCTCATCAACAGCTGGTCCCTCTACACATCCGCGCAGAGGTCCCGGCCTTCGACAACGATCAAACTCGCAAGGTACTGTTCTGGCGACCAGAACCGTCAATAGAGCTAACCGTGCCTCTAGTCCCACGTTTTCTCAGACGCGAGCCGCGGAACTCACAAGATGATGTCCCTTTGACATTGGAGATGCTCATAGCGCCTATGTCCCCGGCCCAGAAGGCATTCGTCGAGAAGCTGGATCGCGAGCATGACAAAGTTGAAAGCTTTTACCTCGCTCGCGAGAAAGAAGCCCGCACGCAGGCATCAAGATTACGAATGGAACTGAATGAGTTGAAGCAGCATCGCGCCCTATTTCATGTCAGTTGTATCGACTTGGTGTCCACGCAGACATTGACTGACGTACAACCAGCAAATACATCCAGGAAAGCCGGCGCAATGGGCGGCAGCGTTGATATCTGAAGACACTCGCGAGGCTCTACGCCGGAAGTGGACCGAGTTCACCGGATACCGCCTTCCACAGATCATGGCTGTGGCACACCTCGTCTCTCCGCCTGCAACAGCCAACCATTCAGTGGCCGATCTTCACAACACGCCACGCATGCCGCCGTCGTCTGCCTCTGCAAGCAGATTGACCAGATATGATCCGGACGAGTACGAACGGGCCAGAAAACGCGTCAAGAAGGCGCTCTTGGAACACTATCGGGCTATTGAGACTCTGAACAACTATCGGGTACACCCTAGCGCACGTCGCATTGCTCGCGTCTGACATTTCAGATAGATCCTGAACTTAACGGGCTTCCGTAAAGCTCTGAAGAAATTTGAAAAGGCAACTCGAGTAAGCACTCTCTATGTCACTGTCGTGGCGGAGATTCACAATGCTTTAGATACCGCTGCAAACCGCATATATGCGCGAAAAGGTCGAGCCATCAGCGTTTGCTCATAGCGACTATCTCGATGGGCTTCTTCACGAGCTAGAAGAGCAGTTCTCCGAGAGATTCAGTATGTGAAACTCTTCCTCACATCGATGCTTGTACTGACGTTCACCAGCTCGTGGAGATCGCAAAAAGGCCATGTTACGACTACGGTCTACGGCATTGCACAAGACCCACCACTTCAGCACGTTCCGCACAGGGCTATTCGTTGGTCTTGCCGTGCCAGTCATGGTCTCTGGCATTGTACAAAGTGCGTAGCATCTGGAACCCACCAGGCACAACGCTGATGAGCGCTTTCCTCCAGGCTTTCATGCCGATGCTCGTGGGCAGATCCCTGGATGGGATGCCCTGCTCTATGTCTATGGCACCTTTCTGATACCGACGTTCTTTTCCTTCCTCATTGGTCTCAACATGCTTGTATGGGCAAGGAGTCGAATCAACTTCGTGAGTGATACTTCAGTCTTCAATCAAACAACAGCAAACTCACGGGCATGGTTAGGTGTTTATATTTGGTCAGCCTTGTTCACACCTTCAGTTTTTGATGAAGAGCTAACACTCCGCCAGATCTGGATCCTCGCCAACCTCTGGACTACCGGGAGTACTTCCAGGTACGTATCCGAACCAACCAGGTCATATCAGAGCCGCGATGACTGAATGCACAACAGTTACCAGCCGCACTGCTTGCTTTGCTCTGTTACGCTTTCTGGCTCTCTTTTTCGCGCGCGGGCGGTGATACAGTCTCTCCACATACCTGGCCACTCGTGTGGCTTCTGTTGGTCATAGTCGGTGTATTCAATCCGCTACCGATCATGGATCGTAGCGCTCGGTATTGGTTCGTGTCCAAGACGTTTAGGCTGGTCACGAGCGGTGTACATCGTGTTGAGGTGCGCCGAAATCATGACAGCTGTCCTTGCGTCTTGCTCATTTCTTTCGTTCATAGTTCGCGGACTTCTGGCTGGGGTGAGCGCGCTCGTCACACTCATACCCGTGCCTGGCTTACAATGACTGCAGAGATCAGTTCTGTTCACTCGTGTTCTTCCTCGGAAACATATACTATGTCGGCTGCGCCTATCATATCGGGTTCGACGAGCACACCGCGGCGACGTGCTCGAGGCCGGCACTATGGGGCGTTCCCTTTCTGATTGGTTCATTGCCCCTGCTCGCTCGTCTGGTACAGAGTATCAGGCGTTACGTCGACTCTGGTCTCTACACCCATCTTATCAATGTGAGTGCCGCTGTACGTCTTTTTAGAGGTGCGCCACTTATTGACGGGCTTGTTCTTAGGGCGGGAAGTACGGTGCTGGTGTTATATACTACCTGTTCTACTATCTCTGGAGGCATAACGGCGAGTCCTTACGTTCCTTTGCGCGCGCTTTTGCTGATGATGGATCGCCCGAAGGTCAACGCCGGGACGCGAGCTTCGTGCTCTTTGTTTTATTCGCAACTCTATACGCGTGTTATGCCTGTGCATGGGTGCGTTTGTCATCTATACGATCGCTTCACTACTCACGATTGATGCAGGACTTCTTGATGGATTGGTCTCTTCTCAAACCTCACGCTAAGCACCCGTTGCTTCGCGACAACATTCTTTACCCACACTCATCGGTGAGATACATCCTGCTCGCGCTACATTCTAGATGCTGATGACGGACAAGTTGTACTACTTCGCATTAGTAGGCGATACCACTCCAGCTATTCAATGTGCGTACTAACATGCCACAGTTCTACAACATCCTCATCCGCTTCGTCTGGGTCATCTACATCCCCACCAACGGACCAAACTCGCCCTTGCGGACCTTCATCGCGGCCATGCTCGAGGTGCTTCGTCGTTGGCAGTGGAACTTCTGTAATGTCGCATCCTCTGATACCCCTGTCAACCGCTGAACGCGATGTTATAGATCGTTTGGAGAACGAGCACCTCGGAAACGTGGATCAGTACCGCATCACGAAGGAGATCCCTCTATACTACGCGCGCGATAATCTCGCGGAGCTGACGGATGCTGAGGATGATAAGAAGGATAGTTTGAAGTAGCCGTTCTGCGTGGGGCGCACGCATGCACGCGTGGACTGGGGACTGGGTTTGGGTTGATGGGGCATCGGTTAGTGTTGGAACGTCAGGCTTGCATTTCAGTTGCGGATTCGTCGTGCTATTCGTATCGCTTTCGGTTGCCATGTTATATTTTGCTATCGTTACTTGTATACACGTTATAGTTGTTACCCGTCATGCCTACAACGATGTCGAGTTGTCGAGTGGGCAAGTCACGCCACCGCGTCGCTGCATGTTAGAGCAGCGTTATTGTTCTTGGACGCGTTCTTGCCATCCACCACCATCACACTATCCATACAGCCCAGCTGGGTTGTCGAGACTGGCTGCTATACCGATGGCTGCCGAAACAACACCTGATCCGCCGCTGTATGCTGATTTGGAGGAGTGGGCGGATGTCACGCCTGTCCCTCAGTATGAGGGAGTGCAGCCACTTGCGCCGATCTTCTACACACCTGAATGTACGCCAGTCGTAGATGGTCTTGCTAGAATCTTACTGACGCATGCCATATCTGTATCCTCTCGTCATTACCTTTCACTACTGGCACCACCTGACATCTGCGCCCACCTCGTGCTTTCACGCGCCCAGACAAGGACGCGACCGATTACTTGCGCGGAGTATTGGCCACCGGCGAACTATCACCCCGCGTTCTTGCCTTGACGGAACGAGTGATTAGGCTAAACCCGGCGCACTATACCGCATGGTGCGCAGACACCCCTCCATCACGATCTCGACGTGTGGCGCGAGCAAGCTTACTGACTGTCAATATAGGCAACTGCGCTACAAGACCTTGATAGCCATCGACGCATCGCTACCGGATGAGCTCGTACTCACCAATGAGCTCTCAATCAAACACCTCAAGACATACCAAGTATGGCACCACCGACGCCTCCTCTTAACGAAACTCAACGACCCAACGAATGAGCTGCCGTTCGTCGCGAAGGTGCTCGAGACCGACCACAAGAACTACCACACTTGGAGTCACAGGCAATGGGTTCTTGCGCATTTCGATCGGCCAGAACTATGGGAGGGAGAGCTACCATTTATTGAGAAGATGCTCGAGGAGGATGTGAGGAATAATAGCGCGTGGCATCATCGGTTCTTCACTGTGTTCGAGCGCTCGGGAGCGGATACAGGGGATGATGTGGTGCGGCGCGAGCTTTCGTATGTATGCATTTGCTTTCCCTCTGTATATGCTGACATGGCGCCTTTAGCTTCACGAAGGAGAAGATCGCGTTGGCGCCTAACAATCCTTCGGCATGGAACTACATCCGCGGAATCCTAGATCACACATCGACGCCATATGTTACATTGAACGACTTCGTCCTGCCATACATCGCTGCTGCCGCGCCGGTCTCGTTCTCCCCTGCAGGCGACGAGACTCCCGTAGTGGACCTCGAGAACCCCTTACCAAGCAAAGGATCGAGTCTGCCGGCGGTGCCTGCTCTAGACTTCATTGCGGACGTGTATGAGGCGGAGGGGGAGGTGCAGAAGGCGGTGACCGTTTGGAGGTCGCTTGCGGATGAGCATGATACGATTAGGAAGAAGTGAGTGATTGAACGATGTGTGTGCATACGGTGACTAATATGCTTCTGCAGGTACTGGGAGTACAGGATAAGGGAGGCGACGGCTGCTAGCGTCAGTGCTGCTGCTTGATGGACCTGTGATCTAGGGTTTTACATAGGGACGAGAGAAGCTGTCATTCATGTATATTGAGGATATAATTGCAAGATTCATTGACAGACTATGAGCATTGAGATACATGTCTGAAGCAAGAAGATAGAGTCCAATATACAACACTCCTGCCCATGTCTACCGACGACGCGGCGGAGGCGACCTAGACCGCGAGTACGAGCGTCTTCTTGGTGGCAGACGCTCGCGCTCCCTCTCCCACCTAGGCGGCGGCGAGTCGCGTCTCGGCGGTGGGGAATCTCTGCGCGGTAGCGGTGCCCTCCGGTCGCGGTCATCATGCCGGTCGCGATCCCTGTCCCTCGGCGCGTCGCGGTCACGGTCACGGTTATGGCCCGGCCCAAAGTCGTCCGGCCTGCCTCGTCCACGTCCGCGCCCAGCAGCGAGCGGCGGCGCGTCGCTCCCGCCGCGCCAATGTCCGCCACCACGTCCAGATGGAGCTCCCGGTGCGCGAGGAGGCGGTAATGCTCCAGCAGACTTCCAGCCGTTTCCAATTCCAGGACCAGCTGCACCCTTTATCCCAATGTCGGCCGGGGGAGCGGCGCCCTTTGGTAGCGTGACGCTAACGCAGAGATAGTCTCCAGGAGCAAAGCGCAATTCATCAAGTGTACGCGCGTCCTTGTAACGCTCGTTTGACTCTTCGTCTTCGGTCAGACGCGTCGCCGGCGCGTTGAGTGATCCTGGTTCGCCTAGGATGTCACGGGAGTAGACTGTGCCAAGGTCTTTGGCTGTGATTGCGCCGCGGTTAGTCGGGTCGGCATAGACGGCCCGGAAAGCATAACGAGCGAGGGGGTGGCGGTATTCCGGCGTTTGTGGGCCCACAGAGCGCAATGTTGTTAGGACTTCATGTAGTGTGGCGTCTTTCCTACAAATGCGCGGTTCAAAAAAGTTATGAAGGAGTAAAAATAGTAATAGCTACCAAGTGTACACTTGTTGCTCCTCGCTGGTCGGAAGTTGGTTGTCTGTGAACAACGTAAGGCGATGGAAGCCTCCCGTTTTCACGAAAGTGCGGATGAGAAACGGCGCTGTCTGAGACACATTCGTTGAACATAATTCCTATCAGAGTTTGTTCAAACATACCTTTTCACGTTCAACTATAGGTTGACTCGTAGGAGAGACCGGTGGGGCGTCGTCGGTGTCCATAGTTCCCTCGGTGTTTAGGACAGGTTGTGCATGCGAGCCTGCGCGCGCGTCAACACGCGTCGACATGGGCGCCTGCCACACGTGACGCCACTTGCTTCTTACACCCACCACGACGGTTCAGGCGCCCCAGTGTGCGATGTACCGTATTCTTTGAACGCGTAACGAGGTGCACGAGCATGAAGGATTCTAGATCGCCCGCAACTTCCGAGCCTTTGAGATCGCGGCCTCATCGAGAAAAGCTTCTCTGTCAGCTTTACGGTTCGAGCAAACGTGTGTCCCACCCGCAGAACCTATCGCTATGGCCACCTAGAAGTGGAATACTCTTCTTGACTCTGCAAGAAGGTATACCTTGGCGTGATTATATGGCGTCGGACCCCAGAGTTCCTCGGCGGTGCTACCAGGTGCCTCTCATAAAACTCGGTCAATTGATGCCCTGGTCAATTATCAGTGGCGTCGACACGGGTCAGACAGGGTCAAACGACATGAATATCGAGTGGAGCTCGATGACGATGTTTATGGCCAGGTGTTGAATATCGCTCTGGATCGTTTCTACTGTACACACGCCTTTCAAACAGTCGTCCTCGTCCTGCCTTCGGCTCTCATCCATCTGCTCCTTCCTATCACGGGCTTCATCGATCCATCTACATCAAACCCTTAGCTTCATCGCTGACATGACCCGTGGCGCGCAACTTGTGGGCGACCGTACAAGTGTCAATATAATTTGCTTCCGGTGCATCGCATTATCGGGTCCAGGGCGTACCTGTGCACCTGCAGGGTGCTCCGGATCGCCTGTCAGTGTCAGGAATACTCATCTCAATAGTACAGGGCGCCTTTACAGTACCTCACGCACAACGACCTGCGAAGTCGTGCAAGTAGATTCTTCTACGCCGCTCCCAATCTGCGAAGTCTTCTTCGCGAGTCTAGGCAGTTCGCTGCTCGCACATCGCACATCGTGAGCGCTCCTTCTGATAGCAATTACGTCCACCTACTAACAAATCCTACTACACAGAGTACCATCAGTAGGCGACTGTGCGCACCCGCACCCGGACATACGGCAGGTTATATCCGAGCACACTAGAAGCGGGACACGCTTGAACATATCGCCTTGGAGCTTGGGAAGTAGTACGTGCGTGCTCAATTATACGCGCAGCTTGAAGCTGACGTTCAACAACGGGATACGCCACCAGACGTTGCGCATCAGACGATGGAAGAGGTGGTGATTCACATGGTGCGCACGGCGGATGCCGTTGCTTTAATCTACCGGAGCGGGAGGGTGAAGAGCGGGTGGCGTGGTAAGGGCAGGAGTCTGGACTGTAGCCTCAGTGTAGGGCAACTTCCTTCTGCAATCTTCGTGTTACTCTGCAGCTTACGTCCACTTTGCTCAACTGATAGTTACTCAAGTTATTGCTACGCGCACTCTTGCTACCAATCATGGATATCTCTTTGTGCTTTTCGCTCGCGATACTCGCCACCAATCCGGAGCCGGGCCGAAGGCGGGACACCCGCGCTCCGTCTTTACTCCCACCGCTCAAATGCCTCGCGCCTCGTGGGGAATCCGACCGCTCTCGTAGACGACCGTTGCGTGAGCTTCCCGACGGGGCCGCGCCAACCTGGTCCACGGCGACGATGTCATCGACAATAGAATCGGGCTGCGACAAGCATTGCGGGTTTCCTTGGAGACCGTGGAGTGGCTTTACTCGGATGTCCAGTCTCAGTCTGTCTACATTGGCTCATGCGCTGAAGCGCTGAAGTCTATCTCTGAGCGTATGTTCACAACTTCCAGACAATGCTCGAAGGAGATGCCCTATGCTGGCCATGCGTACTTCACATCCGCGACCTGAGGCCATCGGGGTTTAGCGTGCCCCGACTCAGGGCAGCAAAGCTGGGGCGCTCACCAAATGTGCAGTGATAGGCGAACAGGCGCTCGGTGATGTAGGGTGATGTCCTGGTTCAAAATCGCGACCAGAAGGCGTGGCGTGCGCCCTCGAGAAGCTTCAACAAATAAGGGTCTGATATGCACGTAGATGTGACTGAGTTACATCATACAGTTCAGGACATTGACCAACGGTGTTTACCATCCGGAGATGTGTAAGCGCCCAAAGGCCCTCCCAGCTTTTCCGTCTTTTCTGAGCGCAACTGTCAACATGCTTGTACCAAAAGCGATAGCCGAATAGGTACAGCGACACGATCAAAGCCTCTTGCCCTTTGCGGACAAAGCCAGGTCCGACCGGCACTTTCCATTGGACGATCGGTCTCTTGAAGGTCGGAGATGTCGGCAGAACTAAACCGGAGGCCAGCGGCAGCGCGGTGCCTTGCAACCTTGGTGGGATCGGTAAGTGTGCGGTCGCCCAATAATCAGTGTATCTAGAGGTTCCAATGCAGCGGTACGCAGGGTGCCGGGTACCGCCCGTTTCCCACTGTGAGCGCCTTCGCCGTCATGCATCACACTACTTATACGAACGCTCTCGGCATTGTAGATCTCCCTCCCTTCGGCCCCCTGGGCGCACACAAGCCTTCAACCTTTTTGACCCTTTGACCCACCTTGATACGTTCGTTTACTTCTCTCCTATGATCGCTACGATGCGCCCGCGACTTCGTTTGAACTCGGACGCCGCTGTGAACCGACCGCCGTCGGCATTCACGCCTCATAGCGGCGTGGCGTACCGTCCTCCCTCTTCTTTTACACCTGAAGAGGTGAACCAAGCAGAGTACCCACACACTTCGGTATTCAGGTGCGTGTATTATATCCCCGACTTCAGCCGGGATGCTTATACCGTACAGGTCGCACATCATGGATGTTAGTGTACAAAGCGCAGCTGTGAAGATGACCGCATCCACTTCTTCCACTTCCTCCGCGCGACCACTGCCCATCTACGGCGATCATGACCGCATATCTGGTTCGGTGAAGTTGGCTACACACATCAAGCCGTCGAGCGGGCGTATGTCTGTTTCGGTGCGTAAACCATCACATGATGATTGTATGGTACCTAATATGAGCGTCTAGTTTGAAGGCATGTTCGAGTATCGGTCTCCATCGGCGAAGGTGGCACAGGGCACACGCACGACTCCCCAGACAAGCCCGCACAAGCATGTCTTCTTCTCAGAGTCGGCTATTCTGTCGCCAATGATCGACTCGTCGGGACCGTTATCCGCAATTGTTGAGGCCTTCTCAACGAGAAACAACCCCGTCAAGTCGCCTTCCATTAGGAGCACCCTTCGTCGCAAAGCCAGCTTCACTTCGACGCATAGTTCAACAGCCGAGACCCGCACGTTTGCCTTCAGTTTGCCTCTGCCACAGAAGGCGGTCTCTGGCGACCAACTGCCGCCGACCATGTCTTCGACGGTGATTGACAGCGCTCGACCTAAGGCGACCGTGGAGAAGGTCGATGTCTGTTATCGTCTGGTTGCCGTCTGGGAACCTCACGAGGATGGGGAAGAACGCGTCGTGTACGTTACGTTACCTTCCAATCTCATAAACATGAGGCTAACGGCGGATCTAGTATAGAAATCCCCGTCCGCTTTCAGCCAGAACCTGAGTTCCAGTCGGCCGACGTCCCTACGGTGTACAACTCGTGGTTGGAGATCCCCCTGCGTGCCGAGCGCTCGGTGCCATTCCAGTGTGCTGTAAGTTGATCATTGTTCGCTCGGGCTTCCGTCGATGCTGATTATCTTCAACTCGTAAGGTTACGATCCCGACCCCTTCGTCGTTCCCGCGCTCAGCGACCGTTCCCTTTTTCGTTGTATTCTCCACCACCCCGCGGTCACGTCAGCTGGCTCGAGAAATCGCCTCGGACGCAACCATCACTGTGAACCTTTTGCGCCAGGTTTCTGTCGACTCGAGCCAGTCGAGGCCGAGCTCGCTGAGCTCGTCTACGACTACGACCCCTTCGTCGCCTCCCAGTTCACCCAGTGACGAAGGCTCGGACCCTCTGCCGCCCACGAGCTATCACAGGCGCACCGGCAGCCGTCTGCTACTGAAACGCGGCGCACGGTCCGCGCGGCCGTTACTCCTGCGTGCCTACCGATCCGTCACGGACCTTGGCGAGGCGTCTAAAATCACGAAGCCATTGCCTCCCTTGCCGCCCGCCGTTCTGCAGGATACCAAGGTTCTCCAAACGGCAGTGTCAATTGGCTTCCCTAAACGTCCCCGCCAGGCTGATGGCCAGGGCTCTTCTGAGCCGTCCAAGTCGCTACCAGACGGCCTGTATCGCGGCAAAATCCCGCTCGGCTCGAGCATGCTCCCTTCGTTCGAGTGGGCTGGGCTCTCGGTTAAGGTGTGTCTATACATACCGCTGCTTCCGCTTCAGTCCCTGATCACGCCGGCAGTATTACCTCGAAGTTTCCGTACTCTTCGGCCAGGACGAACAGCGCGTGCGCGTTCCTGTTCGTGTGCAATAACTTTGTCTCCTTCGTCTTCCTTCCCCTTGTGTTCTGTATCTCTGCTTTCGCTTTCGTCATTCGCAAACCCTTTCTTGTCCACGCCTTTGTTCTTGTTCCATGTCCATGCTTGCATTCTCGACCAACCATCGCACTGCTATCCACACCAATCGGACTCCAAGCATTCACAGTTGCCCGCCACTGCTATTACATACCTAACTCCATTGTCTACACTCATCACACTTTGCCGTGAACATATACGTTACATTTCTCCCCGCGCAGTCCCCATTCAGCGCTGCGCGAAATCTGTTGTCTTTATCATTATCTCCTGAGTTCTTTCCCCACCAATCCACTCGGCCCCCTCATAGCACACTTCTTTCGTACATTGTATGAGTTACTGGACGCATGTACTTATCCCGCATGGCTTCACTATGCACATCATCATCATTATGGATATACTAGCCGCTCAGTAATCGGCACCACGGCCTGACGTTGACGGTGCGCGGTCTTTATAGGCTATAATGAACCTCCACTGCCATTTCTATCCAGAAAGTGACTGTAGCAATAGCGACTCGGTACCGGAAGCGCACGTACCGCTGTGCGCTTCTTTTTTCTACGCCGTGCTTCGCCGGGTCAATAGATTTAGGTGGAGAACGTTGTCTTCCTCGCAGCCTTTATAGATGCGAGTAGCCCGATGGCGGTGGCTTTTGACTGGATATCCGGAGTGACATCAGGTGGTATCAGCTGGTATAGGCCCGCAGTGTGGCACGGGATTTGAACATCGGTCGAGCTCGATGCGAAGACAAGACTGGAAGCTTGACGCTTGGATTGTGTTCAATGCCCTCATGCGCCACGCGCAAGATGAGGAGATGTGCAGAACAGCATCTCAAAACAAGCGGTCCTTTCTGTAGCGTGCATTGACAGACTATGACGCACACCGCTAACTGGCAACGTAAGAATCTCGCGACCCACAAGCTGCGGTCTCTAAGGCTGGCCATGTCGGCGTACCTCGTCATTATGCATGATCGGAGCAGTGAGCGTACAGATCACTCCTTCATGACTTCAAGGTTGTGAGTCAAAGATGAGGTTCAGTGATCGCAGATAGAGGTGTGACCATGACTGGTCGTAAGAACGATGTATCTCGGTCTCTGATAAGGCATACCGCGTACTTGGGCTTCCAATGGTTGTGAAGTCAAGCAAGGATTGGTTACGCACAAATCGGCAGTGGCAGCAAGGCCTCACGCCTCAGGGACCACCCCCAGGTGTTACTACTCATTGGGGGATCAAGAGTGCGGGGCCCGGGCATTGAATACTAGACGGAGGGCATTCCGAGCATGACAACCTTTGCGTCGCCGCCAGCGTAGTTGGCGAGCATCTCAATGCCACCAGATTTATCGGTACAGACCCGTGAAAGTCCGCCACACCTACATCAGGGACCTCGGTGTTTCTCACGAGGGATCTGTATTGCGTGAGAACTCGTAGAGACAAACATGTATACATGCGTATACACAGATCCCACCAAGTTGCCGACAGGCCCGCGTCCTTCAGCAAACAGCTGCTTGGCTCTTTCGCCGCTGACGCCGCGAGCTCTTGGTGATTCTTACAAACTGGGCTCGCGCAGGGCACCACACAGGGACTATAGCGCAGAACCAACGCAGAAGGACCCTGTATCCTCGACCCTTTCAAGCGGCCGAAGCAGAGCAAATGCTGAAAGGGACGTCCAAATGAGGGAACAGACACCAGAAGGCGCGTTCAAACGTTCAAGCTCGACAAACGACCACTCAGGTCGTGGCACCAAAGTCTGACCCGGCCCCTTCTCGTCCTTCTCCTCTTTCCACCTTCTCTTCTTGGGCTCTTCTACTCTTCTGCTGTTCTCCATCGGTAGAACTTGGCGCCCGAATAGTCCGAGAAGAGGCTCGCCGCTTTCCGTATGAGGAACAAGCGTCGACACGAAGGGCGGTCTTCTACTGTATGCGGCCCGCGCAGGTGCGTGATAGTGTGGGATGGGCGCTTTCACGGGGTTTACACGGGATATGAGGGCGAGGGATGTGGGAGTGTGTGGTGCGTGAACTTTGTGTCGGGCGCTTGTGGGATGGGCCGCGGAAATGAGCGGGATTGTATGTTGCGGCGGTGGCGGGCGGATAGGATGGTGACATTGGTCCAAGGTACGATGGTTCAGATACAACTTGTGGTCTCTCATTAATCAGACTGAACGGCAAGTTCGTCCTATAGCGCCAGGTGAAGAGCGTTGAATTGGTTTCTGAAGGGTCGGCCACTCTAGGACTCGAAGGCTAGATTGAGTTCCCTAGGCAATGCGATGAGCCTTGGTACCGACGAAGCACGGACGAAGCAACAAAGCTTACAGTACATACTCTCTCTGTGATTGTTGGATTTCTGATAAGATCCTGCGATATGACCAGATGGACCAGGGAAGTACACCGTGACGGCCGACGATTGAAGAAAGAACAGCCCAGACAAGACCTGGACGGTGATTGCTCCACCAAGTTCTCAGATGCTTAGCAAGGCTGGCGCTGATCATCGTAAGCCCCGCTGAGACGTCGGCCAAGCCGGAAACATTGACAAAAGCATGAGAGCTTGCAGCATTCGAAGATTGCCTAATACGAAGCTGGAATTCAGTTACACTCTGGATACTAAGACAACGCGAGACTCACCAGACAAGAAGCTAGCGCGGTGATGAACTTGGACGTCGAACCTAGTTCTCAATAGGCTTGTTGTAGATGCTGGTCTACGTATATCTCGGGATGAGATCAGACGTTATCTGTCTCGAAGGCGGTATAATCTGAGCAACATCAGTGAGAAGCCACCCCAGACAGCTACAGCAACGATCGATCCACCAAACCAGCAAGAAGATCCCATACCCTACGGCCGATCCACCTCTCACCGTGACATTTCAAATACTCAAACTTCGGTGAAGTTCATTATCGCACGCGTACAGCCGAGGATTGTTCCAGTAGCAACTGCCTTACGCCCGGGTGAGCAATATGCCACCACTGCCGAGCGCATCTGCGATCTTGCACTCGCGGCCGCCAGAGGAAGTATGTGCAGATCAGATTCTGTTTGGAGCAAGCATCGGTAAGATATACTTACGAGTACGAGAAGAGTTGCCGGACGTACCGAGGGATGTAGATGCCAGATCAGGTTTGCCCTATGATGCGAGTCTTCACATGTAGACACAGACGAAGGTAAGATGCAGGATATGGTATAGCAATGATGAAAATGTAGATACAGCAATGTCAACCAACTGTCCATCCATCCGTTCACAATAAAGTCAGTGAACCGCGAGCCTACTTCATCTGACTCGCGACCTGCTCAATCTCCCTCGCGATTAGATGGTTCGGCGCACTACGCTTAAGCTGTCTGTGATAGCAAAGAACATCGTTAGCCTCGCGCAGATGAAACGGAGAGAACGAGATGAGGATGAGAAAGACGACGTACTCGATCCGGCCTTTATTCCACTCTCTCCTTACACTCCCTCGCGGCAGCCCTCCAGTCCCTACACTTCACATACAGATCCAATCATCTCGGAGCATCGCACCGCACCACATGCTTGCGATCCGAGAGCGGTGGTGGCGGTTGGAGGAAGAACTGATGCAGCTGGGAGAACGCGCGGTAGCGAAACGCGCACACGCGCTCGACCAACACACACGATCATATCGACCTTGCTTGTCACCACCACCGGTATATAACGCGCCTTCCTTCCGTCTTTGTACTCGTCCTCGCCATATCCGTCATACTTGCGAACCCACAGTGCTCTTCAGAGCACTCGCGTCTTACTGGCGCGGCAATGAGGATACGCCCCGTGTCGGACGGCGCTCCTCACTATCAGCACGTACTGGCATCGACATGACACCCAGTCAAAGTAGCGCTGCAACCCCGGTCGTTCCTTGGACTTTTGGGGACCGTATGCTCGTCGCGGTTCGGTTGTGGGAATGATCCCCGAGACCGGCCCGAGGCGGCGCGGGGTGGGGCGCGCGTCTTCGTTCCTGCGGCCTGCACCGGCCTGCACACTCACCGCCCTGCGACGCGGATCCGATATCTTCACTAATCCCGTGGTTGACTGCTTGTCATACCTTGATCCCGACGCATTCGAAGTGTTCAACCAGGTTCAACCTTGACCGCGGCCACGGACGAGAAGTCGCTCGCTACATCCCGACGTTCGTATATTCGACATTGCTTCAGGTGCAATAGGAACGAGGATATTTCAAGGAACTGGAGAAGCATTTGGCTACCGATGGTAGCGCGTTGGAGTTCGTGGAACCAACACGCTTGTGGAATGGTTAGCGGGGCGGGCGCAGATGAAGGTGCGCACTTGTCGTATCGTTCATATGTTACTTGATACTAACTTTGCTCGTAGGCCATTGTCCGTACTTCTACCAGCACATCGCATCTACATATCTCTCCCGCGCCAATTCCTTGCTTAGCGCTTCGTACACACCGACTTCCACATCCACTTTCAAAACATGTCAATCGAGCCACAGCCAACCACTCGTACCGGCTTACACCGGCTCGCAAGACCATCCTGATTGGCGGATCTTTGGGATGTTCAGGCTGTACTTGCAAACGCATACAGTGTTAGTGGCGGATAAAGCGGACAAGACGCATCTACAAGTCTGGACGCGAATCAGGTCTTCGGACGTACCTTGCGTTCTCCGCGTGCGCGAAGGGGACCGCGGACCAAGCCGGCGCGCCGTTCACTGCGGAACAGGTGTACGAGCCATTGCTCGTCGTGTCGCTTCTGACCTAGGCGCTTGCGAGTGATATACCGAAGAGCATCAATGAGCGGGTCACGTTCTTTAGGGCTGTCTTGCGATACAGCGCTCGCCAAGTGAGGGCTGTGGAACCGCCCGAGTTGGCTTCGGAATGTCTGAGCGCGCATGAATGTGAGTTGTGTTGCTTTGCTTTTGAATGTGTTCGGAGGCTTACGTGTATGTCCAGACGAACAATATGCAGGAAGGTTCCTAGGCGACATACGTGCTGGATCTCTTTCAGCCTGGATTCCGAACCAGCCATTACACCCGCTTGCCCGCTTCCACGGTCCTCCTCGCGCACGCAATGCGCGCTATCCCCTTCCCCGCCAACTTCATCCAGCCACTCACATCGCGCTTCTTCCTTCAAATGCTCGAGCTCGATACGTCAGATGCACTCTCGCTCTCGCCGGCGAATGGAAGCGCGAGTGCGCGCGGACGTTGAAGTCCCTCGCTGGCGCAATGCTACATAGGTGCCGGTCTAGCCGAACGGGATGGCTTCCGTAGGAGACGAACGTGGCGGGATCCATTCGCGGCTCGCGATTTTGTGGCAGAACGACCGTCAATCTTATTGCCGGTCGGCGTATCGCGACGAGCTTGATTCTCAAGCATGCACATTGAGCCTGGGTGCTGTTGGCGGGATCGCAAGGCGAGCTTTCGAGGCTGTGGTTGTTTGTGTTGGCGGATGGAGTCGCGTGCGTTATTCGCACGACACCGGGGTATGTGTGTAGTCATTCTACTTCATACCAGTTCTGACTTCGATCCACTTATAGGTTTCGATCTTAGGGTATTGGGACCACCGAGCAGAGTCCTCCTTAGTCTGATGCAATTACCCGGACGCGCACTGAAAGAGATACCCTCATCCTGCGGCGAGAAACTCGCCCTGTCGGAACCAAAGATCGAGCTCGATCTGCCTGAAGTGTCCGTGAGCGTTCATTGCGCGTACACAGCGCTCTTGCACTTGCCACTCAGACCTGACGCACACAAGGAGATAGAGGGCGCCGACGCATCTCGCTGGTGCGATCCCGTCTCGGACTTGTGGAGGGAGGGCATTTATGATGCTCGGCTCCGCGACTGGGAGCGCGGGATGGATGCGACCAACACCCCAGATACTTGTGAAGACGAGTCTGTCGGGCCGGAATGGGAGAGATGAGAAGGGAGAATGGGACCGGGTAATAAGACATGTTCTGAGCATTGGGTCTGGTACAGCCTAGTACTTTACCGATGCTTCTTGTTGAGTATAATCATGCTTGGTACTTCAGTTACATTGATTCCAATGCGTCTCTTGATCTCCTAACTATGTAAATTAGACGTAGGGTATCATCCGCCGGGACTGCAGCCTGCTCAATATCGAATCGCGAATCCTCGCCAGGATGAGCCGCCGAAAACGGCACGACTCATGACCGCGGGCACTCCGATTTCTCTCGACTTCACTGACTGTCGCGGAGGTCTCCCCAAGTTGTAACGCGACTGTGACAAGGCCGGGGCGGCTGCGCAGCGGGAGGGCGGGACGAGAGGCGGACAGGGGGCGGCGGCGCGCGGACTTGCCACGTGTCGGACTCACTTGGCGCGTCGCGCCGTTCAGCACACTTCGTCCAGACGTCGATGCCGCAGCACAACAACAGTTGTTGGGACTGCGCTAGCTTACAATATCTCATCCGTGTTCTTTGTCTACTCGTTTCAAGTGGCGCGCCTTCGAGGATGTTCGTCGCGCACAGCCACATTATCGAGCTACGATTCTTCTTCGTGAGGAGCGGAAGATAATGAGAACGGATGAATTCGAAAGCAGTTGCCAGTGAGTGAGTCGAGGGTCGGTGGATTGGGTTGAGGCCCAATCTTGATGGACAGGCGGGCCCGAGTTTAGTGGTATGTGGATGCTGTACGCTCACGTCACCTACGCTCACACTCGAGGCTAGGCATGGGACGAACCAAACTGTAATTGCAGGCGCCGTCGCGCCTCAGCCGGCGGTGTACATATGGCCCAAGGACCCGCTACCTTAATTTTAGCCAACACGCCTCAGCCTCAACCGACGTTCTGGGGTTCGGTCGTGGTAGGCGGATTGCTGCTGTCCTCGCGACAGATGCACACCTTCAATGATACTTAGACGCTTAGACCGGGCATTGTTTGGTTGACGCTCATCAGATGATATTGAGCCCGAGAGAGTTCGAGTGAGTACATGGGAACTAGCATCGAGTGGTTCTGATAACGCGCATACGGATTTATACCCATCACTACACTTCCTCGTCTTCTTACGCATGTTTCCCTCCCTCCCCCACTCAGACCATCATGGTAAGCTCCGCTCTAGATCTGGTGCACATAAGTGGCTAACTATCTGTGCACAAACAGGATAACGAGTTTGCATTCTGGCATCTAGTAAATGTCTACAACACGGTTGCGTTAATTCATTATTGAGTTCGTGAAGGACGCCTTGGACGATGACCCTCGCGTGATCGGGGCGGTGATGTGGATGCGCTACCAATTCAGCTCCCCTTTGGATATCGGTATTCTTGATGAGGCCATCCAGGCGGCACGATGGGCAGTAGAGCGTGGCGAAGACTCAGATCTTAGCGAATGCTCTCAACTCTACTTCGACCTGGGAGTTCGGCTTGACGCCCGTTCAGACCTGACCCACTCAATTGACGATCTGAGTCAGGCGATGTCGGCCTTTGAAGCTGCAGTTGACCTCACGGCGGACGATGATCCCAACCAGTTTGAGCGTCTCAATCGACTGGGTGCTTCCCGACTCGAGTACTTCGAACGCGTCGGCATGCTCGATGACCTGAATAGTGCCGTCACAACCTTCTTCCGCGCCTTCGAGCTCCTCCCAGAAGGCCATCTCGACAAACCGATGCTATCAAGCAACCTCGGCAAGTCGCTTCGCACGCGCTTCAAGCGCACTGGAGAGCTCGATGATATCAACCAGGCCGTTTCGTTGCATTGCTGCGCCATCGAGCTTACACCGGATGACCATCCAATCAAGCTATCGCACTTCAGTAACCTCGGCAACTCCCTTCTAGCGCGCTTCGAGCGCACAGGTGAGTTTGATGATATCGAGTGGGCCGTCTGGACGCATCGCTGCGCTCTCGAGCTCATACCTGCTGGTCACCTTGACGAGCCCTCGCATTTCAGCAACCTGGGAAGCTCGCTTCTCGCCCGTTTCGAGCGCACTGGGGAGCTCAGTGATGTCGAACAGGCCATCTCGTCGTATTATCATGTGGTCATGCTCACATCGGATGGCGACCCTGACAAGCCCTCGCATCTCAGCAACCTCGGTAACTCGTTTAGAGCACGCTTTCAGAGCACTGGGTACCTCAATGACATCGAGTGGGCCATCTCGTCGCATCGCCGTGCAGTCGGGCTCACGCCCGAGAACCATACGGGCAAGCCATTGCTTTTCAGCAACCTGGGCAATTCATATCTCACGCGCTTCGAGCGCACTGGGGAACTTGTTGACATTGAACAGGGCATCTCGTCGCACCGGAGTGCAGTGGAGTTCACACCAGAGAACCACCCAGACAAGCCGGCGCGATTCAGTAACCTCGGCAACTCGCTTCTAGCACGCTTCGAGCGCACTGGAGAGCTTGTTGACATTGAAGAGGCCATCTCGTCGCATCGTCGCGCAGTAGAGCTCACGCCCGACAATCACCCCAACAAGCCGATGTCGCTCAGCAATCTGGGTGGCTCACTTCACAGATACTTCGAGCGCACCGGGGAGCTCGTTGATATCGAGCAGGCAATCTCATCGTTTCGCCATGCAGTCGAGCTCACCACCAAGAATCATCCTGGCAAACCAATACTTTTCACCAACCTGGGCTCTTCGCTTCATACTCGCTTTCAGCACACCGGGGAGCTCGATGATCTAAAGCAGGCAATCACATTGCAACGCCGCGCACTAGAGCTTACACCGGATGGACACCCAGACAGGCTGTTGCGACTCACGAGCCTAGGCAACTCGCTAGGCGCTCACTTTGCACGCACCGGGGATCTTGCCGACATCGAAGAGGCCATCTCCTCACATCGTCGCGCGGTGGAGCTTACACCGGATGGCCACGCCAATAAGTCAATGAGGTTCAGCAACCTCGGTAGCTCGCTTTCCGAGCGCTTCAAGCGCACTGGGGAGCTCGACGATATCGAGCAAGCCGTCTTGTCGCATCGTCGGGCAGTTGAACTCACGCCAGATTTCCATCCTGACAAGCCGTCGCGTGTGAGCAACTTGGGCATCTCGCTTCACATGCGTTTTGAGCGCACCGGGGAGCTCAACGACATTGAGGAGGCCATCTCGTCACATCGCTGCGCTCTCGAGCTCACACCAGATGACCACCCCGACAAGCCGGCACGATTCAGTCACCTCGGTGGCTCGCTTCTCATGCGCTTCGAGCGCGCCGGCGGGGAGCTCGATGATGTTGAGCAGGCCGTCTCGTCACATCGCTGTGCTGTAGAGCTTACACTCGATGGTCACCCATCCAAGCTGTCACGACTTAACAACCTAGGGATCTCGCTTGGCATGCACTTTGAGTGCACCGGCGAACTTGTTGACATTGAACAGGCCATCTCGTTGCATCGTCGTGCGGTGGAGCTCACGCCGGACGACCATCCCAACAAGTCATTGTGGTTGAGGAACCTGGGGAACTCGTTTAGGAGCCTTTACGAGTTTGCTGGAAGTGGCCCGACTGACTGCACGGCCGCTATCGAGTGTTACATGGAGGCAACAATGTACACATCTGGCAGTCCTTCGATTCGCCTCGATTGCGCCTTACGCTGTATCCACCTTCTACACCAGAATCCCTCCGTAAGCACCACAGAGTCACTCTTGTCGGCACACTCGCGTATCATTGCCGTTCTTCCCGAAATAGTCTGGCTTGGATATGATATTCAGCGACGCTATAGCGAATCGTCTCGAATAGGCGAACTCATCAATGCTGCAGTCTCTGTAGCCACGGCCGCTGGTGCCCTGATGCTGGCTGTAGAGTGGCTCGAGGCGGGCAGATCGCTCATCTGGGGTCAAGTCTTGTCGCTGCGCACGCCGCTCGATGACCTGAACGACTCTCATCCCAGGCTCGCGGCATCTCTTCGTCGTGTCCAACAAGGTCTGCTGTCATCTGCGCGGACCTCATTCGCTCCGGAAACGCTCACAGTCAGTGAGATCCCCGGGCTCACAACCAATCATGCGGTTGATGCCCATCGCGCGCTTGCCATCGAGCACGATGGCCTATTGAAACAGATTCGTACATGCCCCGGCTTCGAAGGTTTCCTGCTTCCAAAGTCGTTCGACGCGCTCACAGCCTCATTGAAGATGCTGAACGGCCCCGTCGTCTTCGTCAACGTAACCGCATCGCGCTGTGATGCACTTATACTTTATCCAAGTGGCAAGATGCTGCTGGTTCCACTCCCTGAACTCTCGCTGGAACGAGCGAGCCAACTTCGTTCGCTGTGGGTCATAGAGCTCGCACACTTTAGAGACCGCATACGCGACTCGGTCATCTTGAACCAAGAGTCGCCGCTGGACGAGGAGGCTCAGCAGTTGGCTCATGATATCGCACTCGCTCGTCATACATCGCTCGTGTCCGATGATGAAGACGACGCCACTCATCTACTCGAGCGCCTATGGAACTGGATCGTTGATCCCATCATCCAATCTCTCCAGTTTGCAGAGAGTCGCGTGAGTTGTCCACTGTTCATTGCCGATATCGTATTGATACACTCTACAGGACTACGAGGGTGTTCTTCCACATATGACATGGTGTCCCACAGGGCCGCTAACACAGCTCCCACTCCATGCCGCAGGTGTATACAGCGATCCCCTCGGTCCACGCGCATTCAATCTCGTCGTCTCGTCGTACACCCCTTCGCTATCCGCGCTCCTACGTTGCCTTGAAGGCTTACCCCACCGGGACACGTCACCGTCTGTCCTCATCGTCACGCAGCCGGCCACGCCGAGGTGCTCGCCACTTCCGGGCACCCGGGAAGAGAAGCGCCGCCTGCGAGAGGTCCTCCACGGCGCACAGATTGCGAGCAGCGAATACGATCACGATAAGGCCACCGTGAAGTCCATCCAAGGTGTCATAGACCAGCATAACTGGGTGCACCTCGCATGCCACGGCTCGCAGCATCGCACGGACGCGACGAAGAGCGCGTTTCAGCTCTACGACGGTCCGTTGACGCTCTCGGACCTCATGGGCACCGTGTCCGAGAATGCGGAGCTCGCTTTCCTATCGGCATGTCAGACGGCTGTAGGGGACGCAAATACACCAGAGGAATCCGCTCACCTAGCAGCAGGCATGCTCGCGGTCGGCTTCAAGGGCGTCATTGCGACCATGTGGTCAATTGGCGACGCGGACGCGCCCATCGTCGTGGAGGCATACTACAAGGAGCTCATCGCTCTGCGTAATTCCGGTACGCTCAGGGGTGGGGAGACGGGCGCGGCGTATGCGCTGCACGCTGCAACAAAGGTTCTACGGGAGAAGGTTAGCGAGGCAGCGTTCATGCGATGGGTTCCGTTCGTTCATTTCGGAGTTTGAGAGGACTCGGGTTCATGGTTTCGAGTATATTGGTCTGTCAATGATGTATGAGTGTCGTTATTGTAATGTATAATTATGGAATGTAGATGAACCTAGAGCGAGTGTCGGTCTATGAGTGTGTGGTGGTCGTTCAAGACGAATGCGCGGCGCCGCCGACACGCCGAGTGCCGCGTGACGTCACGCGTTGATTTGCTTGCGTGTCAGCCCCGAAGCCAGCCCGACTTCCACAGTTGGGCGTTTCCTGCCCGTACCCACTAGCTGCGCATCTACCGTAGCTTCATGCTGGAAAGCTCAACTTACCGCTGCACGCGCTCAAACCGCTGCGCCCACCACGCGGGGTCTTCGACTCTTAGCTCGCCTTTTCTTGCTGCGAATGCCTCAAACGCTTTAGCCAATGTGGAAGAACTGGTATAGCGATGACAGAAATCCAGATACAGCAACACGACATCCATCCGTACATCCATAACAAACGCTGCGAGCCTACTTCATCTGACTCGCGACCTGCTCTATCTCCCTCGCGACGAGATCGTTCGGCGCGCTTCGCTTGAGCTGTCTACAAACGCGCGCAACACAATCAGTACCATTCCTCATACACAGTCACTCAAAGCAGCAATAGACGGCACGTACTCGATCCGCGCCTTGTCCCCCCGCTCCTTACACTCCCGCGCCGCAGCCCTCCAGTCCCCACACAGCACATACAGATCCACGCGCCGGGGCGCATCGCACCGTGCTACATAGGTTGCGGCTTCTTTCGGGTGGCCCTTCTCGAGGAGGTGCCGGACGAAGGACTCGTAGCCTATAGGCGAGCGTTTGGACTTCGCGAACGTCTCGAGCGCCTCGAAGTCGCGTATCTGCGTGAGCGCTTGCAGCTTTATCCACCAGAACCTACGCACTCTCCCATCAGCACCACATTCGTCGTGGAAGTGGGCCCACGCACCGTTTGTCGGGGACCTTCCACCCGCTCCTGACGCTCTCCGCCCGTTTGGGTAGACCGTTGACGAGGCAAACACGTATCGTCTCGCTAACGCTCAGCCCCACGACCCGCACCCGTCCCTCCAGCTCCCTCTCCACGCCCTCCTGCAGCCCCAACAGACGCGCGAAGTCGTCCATCTGCTTCGCCTCCCACGCTCTCTCGCGATCCTCGCTGAAGAACTTCTGCGCCTTTCGGAGAGATTCGACGGCCGGGGCGGCGTTGATGGATTGCGTGGGGGGTGAGAGGGACTGAGGGGGGAGCGGTGGGGACAGGGAGGGCAGGAGGGCGAGCGCGTCTTCGAGGGAGAGCACGGCGGAGTCGACGCGCCGGTCGTCGGAGAAGTAGAAGTCGCGGAGCATCTCGCGGTTTTGCGCGCGTGCGTAGACCTGCACGTCCCATCATCAGTACGAACAGCTATATGAGACAAGTGAAGGGTGGGAGTACCTGCAGCAGTTTGGACGCAGGCTGCAGCCGCGGCCCGCCATCCTCTATCAGCTTGAAGAACGCGCCGAGCGGGAGGCGGGTGTAAAGCTGTAACAGCACATGATACACTGTATGAGACACATCAGCCGCAAATACGAAGTGAAGGGTGAAGTCAAGCGCACCGAGATCGGTGTCACCGCTATCGACCGCCTTCCTTAACGCCAGCCCGTCCTCTTGCATAGCGAGCAACAGCGGGACCTGGTCCGCCGCGCGGGGTTCGTGGTCGAGGAGCTGTACGCGTCGTTAGCCGTGCACATGATCAATGTACGAGGGGGAGGAGCCGAGCGCATGAATGTGCAGACGTCTAGAGGAAGAGATGGAGTGGGGAAGGGAGAGAGGAGAGAGGAGAAGGGACGTACGAGCGTGGCCAGCCCCGACCGCCCCACCTCCCAAGCCTTCCGCGCAATCTCCGCATAACTGACCCCCCCACCGCCCAGCTTCTCGAACTTCGCCACGATGCTCCGGCACACCTGCACTCACACCCCATCAATATCAAACCTCCACAACGCAACATCGCAGCATGAGTAATCGTACCTCCTCATCAAGATCGCCCGCCGCGCCGCCCGTTTTGGCGCGCGCATGCGAGATCTTCGCCGCGGCCCAATGCTTGAGCACCGTATCGGGCGGGAGGCCCAAGTGGGCGGATACGCGGAGTGCGAGGAGGTGTTGCGAGCGCGAGGTCAGGCGGGAGATGAGGGACGAGGGCGAGGTGTGCTGATATCTACACACGTTCACTCGTAAGCATCGCGAGTACAGATGAGACAATGTGAGGAAGGGAGAGAGAACGCACTGGACGTACGAGATCGGGACCCCGATCTCGTAGAACCGGACCGCGTTGAGCACTTTGAGCGCGCGGCCCATCGCTATGAACTCGTTCGGGTCGTACAGATCCAGAAAGCCCTTCCCGAAGTTCGCTGCCTATCCTCGCCACATCAGCTCGCACCCACATATTTCACAGAGTGGATGAGCGCACGCTGAGGAGTTTGCGTTGCCAGAAAGGCTCCCACTCCTCTCCCGCCGCCTGCACGAGCGCATCGACAGCGCTCGCGAGCTCAGGCCGTATAGCGCGTATATCCTCGTCCGCTCGCCCCGCGGCGCCCGTGAAGCCCGCATGGGCGTGCAGGAGGATCGCGGCGGGCGATGTGCTACCCGGTCTAAAAGCCGAAAGAGAGGCGGCGGGCACTTTCTGGATGAGGTCGGATGTGTCGGGCGAGAGGATGCGGAGGCCGTCGGGCTCTGAGATGGCGTATGCTGGGCCGGAGTATGTGAATCTGTATATGCAGCATATCAGTATGCAGATTGAGAATGGAGAGGGGAGGGATGTACTCGAGCGTCTCGCCGAACGGGCCGACGACGACCACCCTCGTCCTCCACCCCACAGCCACCGCATCGTTGCCCACCCACTCCACCCACCTCACCTCCCCATCCTCATCCTCCGCATCCCCCGTCGTATCATACTCCGCCAGGCTCCTCTGGAAATCCGCGCTCACGACCCACAGCAGCCCCGCAAAGTTGAGTAACGCGAGGCTCTTCCCGTTCGGGCTGCACGCGATGAACGTGAACGGGCCCCTGCCCAAACGCTGGTCTGACGCGTCGAGGGCGTCGACGGTCCATATCGTCGTGGACGTCGCTATTAATGCTTCTGTATGCCTCGACGCGGCGTAGTCCGGCGGAATCACCGTCCACGCGGTCGGCGGCGCATCGAGCTGCACCCCTCCGCTCGCCAGCGGCACAGCCCTGCCGCCCTCCCACCCCCGCACCTCCAGCAGCCCCAAGGAGCCACTGAGCGCGACCATGCCCTCCCCATGCACCCGCGCGTCCAGCACCCCCACGTCGCCCACGTCCCCGCCGAGCGTGTGCTGCTCGTACTCGCCACTGAGGGTGTAGAGGCGGTAGGTGCCCTCTTCGTTGAGGAGGACGAGGCGCTCGGAGGACGTCCAGCCGAGGGCGACGAGGCGCGCGGTGGACCAGGTTAGGAGGAGCAGCTGGCGGCCGGCGGAGGAGTAGATCGCGACTTGGCCTTTCGCGAGGAGCGGGCCTTGGGAGGGGCGGCCGAGGGCGACGACTTTGCTCGTGTCGCGCATAAGAGCTATCCTCGTATTCCATAATCAGTCTACATACATAACCCAATGTAATAATATGTATGGTCGCACCTATGGGCCCGCCAAACCGTGCACCCGACACGATACATTCATCCAACGGAGGAAGCGCGCCAGGCTCGAGCGTGTAGAGGGGCGTACGGCGGTAAAAGACGCCGCCGTCGCCTAGGGCGTGCCAGTGCGCGGACGGGTGCGGAACGCTGTCCGCCATGAGAGACGAGTGTGAGCAGCGCGCGCGGAGGGCGGGGCCACACCTTCATACGCGGCTGAACGCGGTCAGGTGAGTTCAGAGGAACGCGGGGCGACGGCGCGCGGGTGATGATGGCTTGGATGCGGGTTCGGGCGAGTGCGCTAGACTCACGCGCGAAACGTCTTTCGACTCAGGGCATATTTTGTACGCTATATAAGTTTTATGCTGGGCGCGAGTGTAAACGACTAGTAACTGCATGTTCATAGAACGATTTTGCAGCACAACCCGGCGACAGCTTTACTCCGGCATGAAAAACGTCTCATACATTCACAACCGCATTCACTCGCTTGGAAGCTTTTCTTACGCAAAGCACTACACTTTGACTCCTCTGACCCGCCAGTCTATCGCAGATGGGTTATCACTGTCCGATGCAGAGTCGGGATCGTTGACCAACCTATCGCCTCATCGGCCACGCATATATCGGTCATAATAAACTTCCTCAGGAAACGGCCCAGAACCTTCATGACATATCCCGTCAGCCGTATCCCAGCTCATATTCTAGACGAAACAGAACGTACCCTCAGTCGCCGTCTCGCTAGGGTCGGCAATCATGCAGCGGTTGTTGCACTGCGGGCTTGGCCCGGGAGCAGCTGCGGCGCAGATGGCCAGAGCGAGACAGAAGAGATACAGGAATGAGGCCTCCATGTCGTGGTGCGGTAAGTGTGGGCGGGTCGCTGCCAGCCGGGTACGGATGATTTGCATGCGCCTTATACCGCCGGAGGCAAAGTTCGTTTCGTCGTGAGACCTTGCGTTCAAACTCTATATCACCGTGAAAGGAGTACACCCTCCCGCTCTCTAGATTGCATTTGCTCTCTGCTACGAGTCCGGCGCTCTCGGCCGTATGTCCGCGAATGGCATGCGAGAGTATATCGTGGTTCTTGATTGCGAGAGACCCGGGATGGTCAGCTTGACTGTCACGTACTAGGCCTCGAGCGGAGTTTGCCCATACGCTTCGGCAGCTGGCCGTATCGGTCATGGGCACGTATACGTATCCTATTCGAGAAGTACACAACGTTCGCACAAGGTTTTGGACGTTGCGTATGGCGAGTCGCGACGGGCCCCGACGAGGAAGTGCAGATAGGCAGAACGCAGCAGCCAGCGAGCCGCTATACTCGTTCGGCTTGACGGTCCAGAACATCGTACCAATGGACGACCACGGTGTGCATCTGGGCATATCCAGATCCGTTCACGCGCGAGAACGAAGCGTCTCTCGAGCAGATAGATTGGGTACATCTATGTGACAAGGAATCGCCATCAATCGCGTCGGCCTGCGAAAGCCAAAAAGCCTGCGCGGACAACCCACACGCCTGCACGTAGCGCCCAGCCGCATGCGGGTTTTTATCTTCATCTTCATCCTCGTTCCACCCTACAATAACGTTCAACTCTCAACGCCCCCGTACTCATCCGCCGATCATGCGATACACCCAACACGGTGGAGGGGTCAAAGTCGGTCTGCTCAAGGTCGACTCGGAGGCTGTGCGAGGCTTCTAGAGCGGGCCAGGTGGCGATTTGGGAGCACGCCCAGCGGGTGGCGGCGGTGAGAGGATCGTTGGTAGGTGCGTAAGCGTCGGGTGGGGCGCCTGCGAGACCCCAGCCTTTGCCGCTCAGCCCACCGTCGCTCGTACGCGCTATCATAATCCGCAACGTTGGACGACTTCCCTCTAAGCTCCCCAACGGCCCTCTGGACTGGGAAGATACTGGCCCTCGCAATATTCGTCCGGCGGACTTCGCGCGCTCGAAGCCTTGCCGATTATGACACGCGCCAATTGACCGCACAACGTTTATCGAGGATCGCGGAGTTCATGGGGAGGCGTGCAGTATGGAGCCGAGCTGTAATGACGACGCCCATGGGCGTCTTGGTTCAGACTGCCCAATTGCAATTTGTGTTCATAAGTAGTGGCATCAGTAGTCGCACGGGGCGGGGGGACGGGCCGAGCGGCTGACGCGGCTCAAGCGCTCGCGCCCAACCGTCCGACCTTGCTCTCGTCCTCGACCACGGTGCGACCGGGCATGGTGACAGCTCATATGCATACCTTCTCTGCGGAGATACAGGCCACTTCAATGCCCACAGTGATACGTCTAGCGTGTACTTGGCGGCCCAGGCTCGTCAGACACCAGCGGGCACCCGTGGAGTTGTGACTTTCCTGGCTTTGGCCCTGCGTGTTCTACGACCGGCCACTAGCGCCGTTGGGAATACGAGCGAGGATATGATGACTCTGGGGTCAAAACAATCATAGCGGTGGACTATGACTGGCCTCGGGGTTTGCTCCCAAGCCCGAGCCTGCGCCTACTTCGCGGCGTTGAGCTTCTCGACCTGGAACGATGGCCTTTCTCGGTCTTAAGTTGGGCTGGAGCTCCTTTACTACTTACTGTATAGCGCTGTGTATGGACTGGTAGTCTACTGTAGAAATACTACATGAGGCTGAGCTCATGCTCTCGCTCGGACAACTTCACATCGGACCTCTCAAATGTACTATTCCCTACACTCTTCGCATCTATGGTACCCTACCTTTGGTATCTGGCGCTCAATATACGCCCTTGACAGGCACTTAGTACTTATGTCGAATCCCTCAATTGGAACCCCCGAAAACCCGACAAGCGCTAAGCGACAACCGCGCGGTGCCGAACGACAGCGAACAACGCGCCTGTCGTTGTTCCTGAGTTGTTCCTGACCACCATCATGTTCGTTCAACACACGTGCTACGCCGCACCTTGAACGAAACCCCAACAACCAATGCGAATATTCTCTATGCTATGCGACACTTGTGCGACACGCACTGCTGAATATTGTTCAAGCTTTGAATATACCAAATTGGTCCATGCTGTCCTCGTGAAACGAGCGAAGGTCGCATGCTATCTTCGATGGTCCGCGCCGGATCGCAGTAGATGGCGAGTATAGCTGCCCTGTTCTGACAAGACAGCTTCAGATGGATGTCCTTATGCAGGAGCTCGGACATCTGTCACTGTGTGTACAGTGTGCGTGGCGGGCGGCGGATCAGCATGCGCGGCGCTCTCCTTTGGTTCGTATAGCACGTCACATGCCGCAGAGTGAACTTCATCTAGATCTCATCAAAACAGGAATAATGCATACGGTATGCCTAACTTGTTTCCTAATCGCACATCCTTTGGCTCTAACGTGGTATGTGCCCTGTGTGAGCTCTCCAGGAACGCAATATTGGTCGCCTTGTTTGCTCAGCGCAGTCGATTCTGATAGGACAGCGTTGGACGCCGACTGTCACCGGCCTCCATCGAATGATAGGTTCGCTGCACGTCTTGTCAACCGTTGTGCAAGACGTAAAGTTATACGATTCGTACTGCCACTTGCAAGACTATATGTGGACTTCGTGATCAATTCGTTGTTCCAAATGCGGCACAGGGCGCTTTACCGGGCCCTGGTTGGTACATGAAACCAGAAATGATATGAGCAGGCTTTGGAGTTCAGACCTCCGGTTCATGATGTACGCAAGCTTGAACCGATATTCGGCACTGACTACCGATGCTCGCGCAACCTCTCGAGGTGGCGTATCTGACATAGCTGTGAAACACAGACAGTCTTATAACTGACGAGTGCCGTCTCTGCTCAACAGCAACCTACCCTTCAGAACATGGCCTCGCGCACCTTTGCTTATCCACTGTATCCAATCATCTGTATTTTCAGTGCTGCACTGGTTCTATGCGTGCTCGCTATGAACTTCGTCCGTCAAAGCTGGAACCTGGGCGTTCTATTCCTATGTTTCTGGTTATTCTGGGGAAATCTGGCTGCTGGAGTCAATGGCATCATCTGGTCTGATAACGCCGACGTAAAGGCTTTCATTTACTGTGACATAGGTGCGTTTCGCTCACGGCTACGATGTTCATGCGAGCTCTGACAGTGCGTGTGCATGCCAGTTTCCCGCCTGCAACTTGTTGTTTCAGTCATCAAGCCCATGGCAACTCTCATCATCGCTCGAAGACTACACAAGGTTGCCCAGCTTCAGTCCCTCGACTCGCGCAACGTACGACACTTCTATATTCCTCATCTTGATCTACTCAGTGAGAGTCTACAGAACAGTATGGATCGTGTTGTAGAATGGACTCTTGGGCTGGCACTTCCATTACTAATTGCTGGTCCACTTTGTAAGCCATTGATTGTGCGTGCATTGTATGCTTGCAGCTCACTTCCATATTAGACTATGTCAGCCAAGGAGCCCGTTTCCAGGTCATAGGAGGTTTTGGCTGTATGTACTTTCTATACACGTCAGGGCTAAGAATTCTCGCAACATGCATCTGCCTCCTCCTTCCACCTCTCTTCTCAGTGGTCTTCTACTATCGTGCGACGCAAAGCTTTATCTGGAATGACGTAAAAGCTGACACTATCAATAGCTCGTATTCTCATGGTCTTCTATCGTCATCATACGGAGATGAACCGCTTCTTGCAGAGTAACAGTTCAATCTCTCGCAATCGTTACTTCCGCATCCTCGCGCTAGCAAGCATCGACGCCCTCGTCACTCTCCCTCTAGGCGTTGTCGATGTCGTACTCAATATTATTTCGATCACACGGGACCAAGGTGCGGCCGTCAGGGCAGCCGCTACGATCTTCTATCCCGGATGGAACTTCGTGCACACGGATCATAATTGGGATCCAGTTGGTGTAGAGTACGAAAAGATGAAGGAAATGGGGGACCTCCGAGTAATGTACTTCTCGTACCTATCCGGACCGTTCCTCGGGTTTGTGGTGTTCGGCCTTTTCGGCCTGACGCGCGAGGCTCGTGCGGCGTACTGGCGCATCGTCGAGAGAGTCATGGGATTCTTCGGCATGACGCCAACAAAGTCCCCTCAGGCGCCCACTTCGAACAGCCCAGTGGTCTTTCGAGCGGCGCAATCTGAAGTATGCAATACGGAGTTGCATGATGATGAACTTGCGTACGCTCACTCGCTCTGCCTTCACTCGCTATTTCTCATCGCCCACAGCACACGTTCAGATCGCCCTGATGGTGGACGCGCGGAAGTTCGTGTGGACGTATGATGGGTGGGAAATCCGAGACGTTGCCGGTGAAGCACCATGTTCGTAGAGTCAAAAGAGTAGCTGCTTCCTGTACGGAATCTTCACTTGTCTAGATAGCGTGTATTGTATGCCGCTTGTTCGCTCGTCAATCAATTCTACGCCACTGCCAACAGACCGACATTCCTGTCCCGATCTTGAGCCTGAGCGCCTTCCAAACTGTCACGAAGTCAGAGTGTGTTCAGCGCTGATAGCATCGCACTGCTCACCTAGGCAACTAATCACCGTCAGAGGGCTGGCAAGAACCCGGCTTTCGCGAACAGCGTCCACGCCTCGACGTAAGCACCGATCCCAGTTGGCTCCCCGTTCCACCCTGCCTCTCTGAGCGCCTTCGTACTCATCCGCCGATCTTGTGGCATGCCGAGTACGCTGAAGAAGTCGAAGTCGATCTGCTCGAGATCAATGCGTAGTCCGTGCTTCTCTTTGAGCTCGTGCCAGGTGTCGGTCTGAGAGCGCGCCCATTCGATGGCACGGGCGGTAGGGTCCTCTTCGGACGTGCGAGTGTCGGGTGGGGCGCCAACAAGACCCCACGCCTTCGCCAGTCCAGGCCACCGTCGCTCGTACGTGCTGTCCTCATCCGCGACATTGAAAGACTTCCCCTTGAGCGCCGAATCCGACTTTAGCGCCAAGAAGATGCTGACCCGAGCGATATCGTCCGCCGGACTTTCCGAGTTCACCGCCTGCGCTCCTGCGAGCGACGCAGGTAACGGCACGGTGGCGCCTAGCCCATGAATGGCGCGGTAAATGGACAAGTAGACGCCAACAGAGAGGGCTAGGTTCATTGCGTTGGGTGTGGGCGAGTAGCCGATGATGGGGCCGGGGCGGAGGTCGTTGTAGGACCATGATGCGTCTTTCGCATACTCGGCTATGATCTTGAAGTATAACTTGTTGTCAGCATCCGGGCGACGAAGAGGGGAGAAGTGAAGGCACGTACGTCGAGTTGTTTGTAGTAGAAGATCTTCGAGTATAAAGGCTCCGGACGGCGTGGTTGGGTTTCTTCCCAGGGTGCAGGCGCAACGAGGTCGGGATGGGATGAGAGGTACTCGACGCCGTAGTACTGTAATAGACCATTGGTTCAGTACCGTTGCGAGTTATCGATGAAGGAAGAGAAACTGACTTTGGCGCCTGTCTGCCATATGAAGTGTCGCATCTTCGGACACACCTCTTTCAGCGCGCGCAGAGTCGTATCGAGGATTTGAGCGTTCGTAGCTACGAGATCGCCGTCGTCTGGCTTGTGTACGTATGCTGAGATTGTATGAGTATGTATCCCATCCCAGGTCTCGGCGGCGAGTACGTACCATACCAAAACACCTCCGTAACCCTCTCCACATCCTCCCCTCCAACCTCCTTCAGCTTGCTGACAACCTCCTCCACCGGCTTCGTCAAATCAACACCATGCGCAAAGTTCAAGCGCTCATCATCGAGCAGTGCGGCACCAGGATCCAGTGGCCGATTCGAGAGCGCTATGATCTTGGAGAATGTGGTTGGAGTCGGGTACCGGAGGAGTTCGCGCGTCACGGACCAGCCGGAGATGCCTGAGGCGCCAAAGAGGAGGGCGGAGGTCATGATCGCCGTGTGTGCGCAGGAAGGACTATTCGAGAAGTTTGGACCATAGATGATGAATAAGGATCTGTGCTGGACTCCATGGTAGCGGGTGTAGGCGTTAGGCGTTATATGTTAACGTCGAGCATTGCGCGAGGTTCGTCGGGCGTTGCGTGTGCCGACGATGACGCATTGATCACAGTGTCAATGAGATAGTATAGCACAAAGCCTTGGCTAGCTATTTAGGCTATTCCAGTAGTGTATGCGTGGTATACATCGAGGTCCGGGTTCAAGAAACGCTGCGACGCGTCTGGCGCGCACCCGGCCCTGCGCGCACATTGAGGCTTTCGGAGCTCGGGCCGAATACCGAGAGCGCCGCAGCGCGGCCGAAGTGAAATCGTAGCGGTTTACTCAGGACCATCACTGTTCCATCCTGCACACGCCCTTCTGTAGGCTATATGCCAGATGCGATGAACTCCTTACACTACTCATCTAAGCGACGCTTTGTATCACCGACCAGTGTAAGTATGGCAATGAGCACCGAGTTCGTCGATCCCCACATCGGATGCTGAATGGGCGCTCGTCGGCCTGGTAACCCTTTGGCGCCGTGACAATTGGACAACCCGATACCTTAAGTAATAGTACAGGTGTACAGGGCTGCAACGTTTGTGGTCCAGCTTACCTCCAGAAGGACAATGCTCTCGGCGTCGCTGCTATTCTTCTGGTCAAAGCTCGTTCAATACTTGGACTCTTCTTCAGCTTTGTGACACAATATCCCCGCCGCCGCCCGGTCAAGCTATATAAACACAGACTTCCATGCTCAACACTTTCATCCGCCCGCCTCGTACGCTCCTCAATGTCCAGACATTACTATCAGCGGCTTCCGGACGAACAATCCGCCTACCTGGGCTCAAGCGGTCAGGATCATGCGATTCTCTACGGCGCGCGACAGCATAGCAGCAGATCATCATCCAGCTCGAGCGCGACCAGCACATCGGCCGCTTTGTATCACGACGATATACCTCCACCCGAACGTTCGGGTACACCCTTGCCTGACGGACACCGGTTGCGCAAGTACGACACAGAAGGCCTTCCGTACCAGCGTGGGGATTACTCGATCTGCCCGGACCTTACGTTCCCGTATAATCGGATGGATCCCGGCGAGAGCGCGCCGTACACGGAGCGTTGGCCACAAGACGCAGGCATGAGGAGACCCACGTACTCGGATGCTTCCGCCAGTTCGCATCATGGACATGATACACCTCTCGCCTCGAGTCTGTTGATGCAACCTCTAGGCCACTACCGGCCATCTGGCGGCAATCCGTTGCCATACCCTGATGCGCGCTCTCCCAGCCAAAGCTCGGGGTACTCTACTCATCACCATCGCAATGTGGACCTCAGGAGCGCTCATCCAAGCCCGGGCACGGGCCACGTTTACCACCCAATGTACTCGACAATAACTCCTCAGAGCCACTACTCGCACCATCAACCTGTCATCCCCGTAACCAGCGCCGTATCACACCACAGCGGTTACTACGATAGCCGGCCAGCATCCGATTTCGCTCAACTGCAAAGACCTGCCCTGGCATGTAGTGATAGGCCGTATGCGCCGTTTCCGGGCATGCAATTGCTTTTGGTGTTACAGCAGGATGGTCGGCACGCGTGGATGTGGGTCTAAGGATTAGGTTTTCGAGATGTACATAGACGGGCTCAACGTGAATAGACGCGTAGAATGAAGCGCGGATGATATTGTGACTGGACAATACAAGTGATACAAAGACATGCAGTGCAAGAACAAACGAAAAGACGCCGCGGGTGATCGCCATTCTAGATGATGATCAGAGCATGCATTATCACTGGATATAATCTGAGAACGTACCATCTTGGAGTGTGACAGAATGTCGGAGGCGAGTGGTTGATGCGACCGAGTGAAGACCCTTGAAGCTTGGAGCGTGATGTGCGACGAATTGAATGCCGTAGACCCTCGCGGCATGCAGTGAGCGCTTCATCATGATCGGGTGATACGGGTTGATAACGCAACGTACCGTCGAACGAAGGTACATAGCGCTGCTTGGGCAGGCAATGAGAGAAGGGGATACGTGGTCGTGAGGCAGACCAGCGCTGAATGAAGTTGAACGTTGAGGCTTGAGGTCTCGGAGCTTGAAGGGCGAATGCGGCTTCGACGCCGAGTTGAAGGACGACATGGTGACCAAAAGGAGTTGCCGGCCGAGGTGAAGAGTGCGCAGGTACGCGGTCGGAAGGCGTCCGATTTCGCATCGGCGAAGAAGGTTTCATCATCGCTAGAGCTGGCGGTGTTAGAACCGTGTACGGGTCTGAATACGATCATGAAAAGACTCATCTTGCATCATAGACCATAGCTGCATCGCCGGTCGGCTTGAAGAATGTGGACTTGTTGTAGTGGAGCGGTGAATGTGCGACGTGGTGAGTACATGATGTGGTGGGGATGCGGTATGGCGAGTGTGAGTTGGGATGAATATGAGTGGCGAGGTGGTGAGCATGGCGTCTGGAAAGAGGTCAGCGAGTCGATCTTGATCGGCCGAGGATAGATGTTCACCTTGAAGTAATGGAGGAGAACGCTTGAACATCGAAGAGAGGTGTAACTTCCAAGATACTAGTCAGTACTCAGTTCTATGGAGGGTTATCAACATACTTTGTATGAGCCGCGCCACTAGGGCGCATCTTGGCCGAAGCCAAGGGGTGGACGACTAGGAAATGACTCGATCGAGCGTGCACCGCTCTCACGTGTCCACCTAGTGCACGGTAGACGCTGAACGAAGCAGCGTCCCCTGAACGTACCGCAGTCTTTAGTTAACGGCCAGCCGGCCGCAGACAATGAGGGCCGTGAGCCTGCACCTCACGGGCCGCGAACCGACTGTCGCAACTTTCAGACGTGCGTCAAAGACGCGCATATGACATCTCGACTCGAAGGACGAGGATGCCTGCGGTACGCTCTCCACCTGGCCGCACCACAAAAGTGCGACCGTGGGACTACCGATGAGCTCGGATCAGTCCCTACGCCACTAGGGCGTATCTCATCTCGAAAGACGAGGAGACGGCCAGCGGGTCAGGCCAACACAGGGTGCACCTGTGCCGTCTAAAACCACACCACGCCAAGGCAAGTGCTGTTGAAACAACACCGCCGGACACACCGCGGACCCCGCAAACTAACTCGAGCGGATCGCGTGACCGCGAGTCTGTAAGATCAAAGGATGACCGTGAGGTCGACGCCGAGCCACGTCTGCAGCGGTTCTTGACGCTCAGAGACCATAGCTCGACTCCGCAACGTGTCCACCGTCTAGGCTTGCGCCAAAAAGTCCAAAGGATCCGGAGGTCTTGAGGTGTGAAGCCTGGAGGTCTTGACTATTGAGGACCGGGGCTCTTGAGGCCTGGTATTGAGAGTGTGTATTCAGTCAGTTCTTATACAGGTCGAGGAAGTATCACATGCGTGAGTGCGCCAGTCCTGACCGACGTTTGAGCCCAGGGTAGCATCTGGACCGCTCATAATGTAGAGACAGGCCAGAGTCTGGACCCGTGCAAGAAAGCATAGGCGTACAGCTGTGAGACACGCCCTCAGTACATCTGCAAGGTCTGCATTCACGTGAAAGTTGTCGATATCCTTAGTCGGGAGGATGGATCATGGCGCGCGCTGGCGCGACTCCTTAAAACGGCAGGATATGACCCTAGCCTATTCTTATGATAAGAGCATAGAGATAGTGACTAGCACCATAAGCAAGGGGGATCTTCATGCAGTCTTAGCACGAGTCTATGATTTCATTGTATCGAGCAAGAGGCTCTCGCCGCGCGGATGGGGAGAGATGGTGGTCGATAAACAAACGCGTGATGGGCTGTTACGATGGCCCGATGGTCACGCTCTCACGATGTAACGCGTCGTGGAGAGGCGTGCTTGCGGGCCATTTGCTGGCGTCCCTATTCCTACCACTCATACGAATGACCGTTGGCCCTACCACTGGCCCAGGGTCTTTTTGAATGCTTGCTACAATGAATGATCTGTTTGCAGCTTCAGCTATGCGAGGTTATACCTAGTCGTGCGGTTGTCTCCCGTGCAAGGTCGCGTCGTGTCTCCACGCTTAGCCCTCTTCTAGTGCACGGTGTTTGTACGCATATCACTCTGAATTTCGATGACCTATGCAAAGGCTAAGCTATATGACCATGCCGTGGTATTTGAGGCTACAAATTGGCCTTCAGTACCAGGCTGCTTTATGGGAGTCTATGTCGTGGCCGTTACATTCCTGGCTCACATTGACTGTCAAGCTATGGCACCCAAATACCGCCAGCGTTGTATTCCTCCGCCGAGGAACTTAACCCCAACCCACTACTACCCAGCACATCTATTCCTTCTATCAGCACACACTATCTTCTCATGTCCGCTCCCACACCGCCGGCGCAGAATATCGCCATCAAACAACGGAAAGCGCCGCACGCGCCTCGAGCGCAACCTACGCCCTCGTCCCAAGCCCCAGCGAAGTCCGGCGTGCTCAAGCGTCTGCCTTCCGCGACGGAACTCAAGCGGGGTCCGCTGAAAGATAAGCGTCTTCGGATGAACGGACAGGACTCGGACGAGCAGGCCAGCGTGGACAAGAAGCCAGAGATAGAGACGTCGTCTGACGAGGAGGAGGATGTGGACGCCCTTGTCGACCTATCGCGTACTGAGCAACAATTACGCTTCAAACGCATCAAGTATCTTCGCAAGCACGGAATCGACTGCGATGACACGCTGAATACCGGTGGGTCTCCGCTTGATGTTCTGATCCAGAAACTTTGGGCTTACTGAGTAACATAGAGCAATCGTTTCATCTCCTGGCCATGGAGTTCGATCGCAGTAAGAAAGCGGCTCTCGAGCAGCAGACGGTACTTTCCAACGATGTCACCAAAGCGCAGACAGAGGCCGCGAACGAGCGTGAAGCCCGCCGTGCAGACAACATACGCGCGAACGCGGATGCCGCTGCCAGTCGCGAACGCGAGGGGCGCCTGGAAGGCGAGAACGTTGATTTGAGAAGTCAGCGCGACACTGCCCGTCGGCAATGCGCCGTGGAACGTGACGGTCGTCTCGAGGCGGAGAATGACTGCGTATGCCTGGTCACAGAGGTTGGCGCGCTTCACCGATTCTCTACCTCTGGCTTGTTCGCGAAGTATCACCCACGGAACGATGCTCGTCCTCGTCCCCGCTACCGCTAGTACTACCATGCCGTTTCTAGCTATATTCGCATCCTACACACGGCTACATCGTTCTCGTCATTGTCTTCTTTATCCCGGATACCTCTACTCGTACATCATAGAAGACCTTTCTTGTCCGTAATGCCGGAAACCCCGCGATTTCCTTATCACGCATTGCGAAACCTGGCGGCCTTGCTAGGCGTAATAAGGTGGCCTGCGTGGCGTGGTAAGGTGTGATAAGGCCTCGTGAGGCCAAACTAGGTGACCTGGGCTAGACTGGTCGACAACCTTTCTGGAGGCTGTATAGTGGGTAGGGTGGGGTGGTGAGAGTCGACACGCACGCGGAGGGCCGCGGTCGCGGCGTCCTGCGAACCGCGGCAGGTCATGAATCGTCAGTGAACGTGCATACAGCGACACGAATAGTTCACCATTGTTTCATTTGCACTGAGCTCTGTGATACTGGTGTCATAAAATGGATCATTCAGTATGCTAGGCCGCGAGTACGTAGGTACATATCGCAGTCAAGACAGTCGATTGGTATGTAGATTAATTCCTTGCCTTGGGAGCGATTTGTCGGTGCACCGAAGGCCAGACAGAGAAGAGCGCCGTGCTCAAGATCTAGAACCATAATGCATAGTCTACATACAGTACTCATAGTAGTATGTTTGGACTTTTGTAGGGCAGGCCCTTGTACTTTACTGCGCTGTCGGCGAGCGGGGAGACGTTGATCGCCCGCCAGCAACCCGATTCTCCCGTCCTCACCGACGCATTCGGCAGAGATATAGCTGTACGCGATAGCCTTCGAGCCGCATTGCACAGGCGAGACAAGAAAGGTAGTGTATAAAGGGACCAACGGGGTGGCGATCTGCTGTTGACGCGGCGAGTGAGAGCGAGTCGGATGGCCGTGCGAAGCAAGTTGGTGCACGCTCCACACGGTGAATAAGACGACGCGCGCGCTCGCTTCAACCACCAAGTCGCCCTCGCCTTCCACCACCAT